TACGACATCCAGTACAGGAAGTTACTAGATCACATTATCACGCCTACCATGGGAAAATACAAAAGAAGCAACAGAGGCAAGAATTAACTACTTTTCACATGTTGATGACCTGCCGGTATCAGCGAAAGAAATAGCTGAAGCAACCAGAAAAGATCCAGTACTATCAAGAGCATGGCAGTACACTGCTGAGGGATGGCCAAGCTATGTGACTGAAGAAGAACTCATTCCTTACTTCCGTCGCAAAGATGAACTCTCAGTTGATCAAGGTTGTCTATTATGGGGGCTTAGAGTAGTGATTCCACAAAAGTATAGGAATAAGGTTCTAGAAGAGTTACATAGCCAGCACCAGGGTATGGTTAAAATGAAAGATGTAGCTAGAAGTTACTTGTGGTATCCTTGCTTAGATCAAGAAATAGAAGAAATGGTTAGGAAATGTGATATTTGCCAGACATTCCAAAGAGATCCACCAGTATCACCACTTCATCCATGGGTATTTCCAAGCAGAGTTTGGGAGAGAATACACATAGATTTTGCTGAGTACAGTGGAGACAGATATCTCATTGTTATTGACAGTAGGTCAAAATGGATAGAGGCAGTTCCGATGTCAACCACTACCTCTATGAAGACTATAGAAGTTATGAGAAACCTATTGGCCTCATATGGGTTACCTGAAGAGGTGGTATCGGACAGTGGCCCACAGTTTACTTCTGCGGAATTCAAGGAATTCCTCCAAAAGAATGGCATTAAGCAAACATTGTCACCTCCGTATCATCCAGCTTCCAATGGAGCAGCAGAGAGAGCAGTTCAGTTGGTGAAAACAGCGCTAAAGAAACACATGTTGGCAAAGAGAGAAGGTTTAGAGAACTTCTCAGTCAAGCAAAAGTTGGCAAGTTTCTTACTCACATATAGGGCAACGCCGCATGTTGTTACTGGAGTCAGCCCAGCTGAGTTGTTCCTTGGGAGGAAATTAAGAACTAGATTATCTTTACTCAAACCTGATAAACAAGAAAGTACAGCAAGAACAACAGAAACAGAAGATAGCACATGATAAAACTAATTCTGTGCGTGAACTAGCTGTAAATCAACCATGTCGAGTGAGAAACACTCAGAATGGAAAGGAAGAGAAGTGGATCCCAGGTAGAGTGGTCAGAAGTTTAGGTCCCCTCACATACTTGGTAAGGGTTGGAACAAAGACTTGCTATGTTCACATTGATCACTTAGTACCAGCGCAAGACACCATTCCACGTGTTCCGGTTGAAAAGGCCAGCGAATTAGCAGAGACAATCATGAAAGATTTTAGTGAAGTACCATATGCATTGTCAACAGAGTTACCTGTGCAGGCCACACCTGTTACAGATCATTGAAGTTTAAAAGTGACTGTCCTTGTTAATTCGTAAATTACAGTGTGCAGCAAAACTAGATCAATTATTGGAAAGACTTTAATGGTTAGCTTATATAAGTATCCTCCTCTAGTTATTTCTTGAAAGGAGTGACTTCAGATAAAAGGCCAGGCTTATTGGTAGCTATTATGGACACTAAAGTTAAAAAGCTACATTAATGGCCATATCAGTTATTAGTTAATAGTCTTCGGACTAAAACGTAAATAAGGGAAGGAGTGTGGTATATTTACATGCTAGTCATTGGCGCTATCTTGTATGCGCTATATTCCCGCCAATATATGATGATGTCATGATGATGTCATAGATATAACGTCATGGTTAACGCATGAGTGTGGGCTGGCAGTTGTGCAGTGGCGGTCTGATGTACCAGACGAGAATGAAGTGTTCTAATCATTATGCTTGTGTTGTGTTCTTGTATAAGTAAAGACTATTCTCAGGGTAGTACATGACAATGCCATTTTGGGATCTGGAGATATAACGATGAGGAATTGATGACATCGTTTATTGATGCTGAAGGACTTTGACATATCAAAGAGCTCACCTAAATGATGAAGTGCCTTTGACGCCAAACCATTTTCTACATGGTCAAATGGTGGCATCTTTGCTCCAGACTCATGTTACACCTTTTAATCCAAGAAGGAGATGGAGAAGAGTACAGAAACTTGTACGTCATGTCTGGAAGCGCTGGATGAAGGAATGGTTGCCTTCACTTCAGACAAGAAAGAAATGGTTTTCACCCAGCCGGGATCTACATGTGGATGACGTAGTTATCATCATATCACCAGAGACACCTCGGGGAAGTTGGAAGCTCGGGATCATCACGAGGACATATCCAGGCATAGATGGTCATGTTGAGAGTTGTGGACATTTAAACAGACAAGGCTATAATAACAAGATCAGTCACAAAAGTTTATCCTCTGGAATGGACACAAGGCGACAGACGGGAACAAAAGACAGAAAAGGATGAAGAGGCTGAGATGTACAGAAAAGAATGAAATGGAAAGGATTGACGAACAATAAAGAGGATGAAGAAATCAAAAGAAAAGGGTACAGAAAAGGAACAAGGACATAATTGAGTGAAAAGGACACATTCTGATTATTGACATTTACAGGAAAATGTTTGTGCTTTTCAAGGACTTGAGATTTCATTTGTGATTGTGTGATGAAAAAGTGTTTCTTTTTCAGGATGAACTTTAACTGAACTTTGAAGTGCAATTGTTTATTTTCAGGACATTGAACATTATAACGTGTGAAATTTGAATGTTTATTGCTTGAAAATTGTGTTATGATGATCATTGTAGAATTATGATAGACATTGGACTATCTTATTTGGGGGAAATGAACAGAAGGATGCCAAATCATTAAAAAACTTTTGCGAGAACGCACCACTTGTTAAGGTGTAGTGTTCTGGACAGCAGCATGTGGCGCACGGGCGGCATGCGCAAATGTGTGCGGCGGGGAACTCTGTCCCTAGGCTTGTCACTTTATAGTCATGCTTTGGTAGAGAGCAGCCACATTGCCTGTGGCTGCCTCTGACAGTGTCAAATCAGGGCACAATGTGTGTTAATTTATAAAGTCAGGTTTTTCATTGTTATCATAGTCAAATAAGGACAAAAAAATTGTGAAATGAGGACAAATCGTGGTAAGTAGTGATTTTAGAAATTGTTTCTGAAATCATGGGTTAATTTAAATATAGTGTAAATTTGAGGTGTTAAAAACATTTCAGTTATTAAACAGACATTAACTTTAAGTTTTGTTGAGTTATTTTTGAGACTTCTACTGCATATCACTTGCTGTGTTTATCGAAGTGCTGCCCTTTTAACGTAAAACCAGAACTGGTCGTCCATCAATTAATGTTTCTTTGCATATCACACAGTGACAGCTGCAATCCATGGTGTCACATATGAAGAGAAAAATCAGATAGTTAGAAAATCATTTTCATGTTTTGGGTCATATTAATTTTGATATTTAAATATTGGCATAAATACATAAGGTTTTCTACAGTGAAATCACAAATATTCATTCTTTGTTTAATATTAAAATGTGTACACATTTGTTGACATTTATAACTTACTTCAACAATAGTAACATACATGTGTTTGTGCTAAGTTTTATATGGATATAAGTATGAACTTATAAATAGTTTCAAAATGATGAAAGTGAAAATTAAATGGAGATCAAACGTACTGCAGGTTATGATATTCAAGGAAAATGAGTTAGATTGTTAAACAGCATCAACAGGACAGATGGACACCGGGAGACTGAGAACTATTACCAACACCAAGAAACAATCCATGCTATGACATTCTGATTGACATCTGAAATAACATAAATGTAAAAATATTACATATGAAAATGCTATTTAGAGAAGCAATTATAAAATGTAATCACTGAGAAATATCTTTGCTTCATAAAACACATCAGGAAAAGACACCTTATAACATGTTGTGCACAAATTAATAATCTTTCATTTTGGTAGAAAAATGTTTCCATAGTTTTTTTCTCTATACAGACGTGTGACAAATAATGTTAAAATAATCGCACCAAATTGTTCAGGTAGTCCGAAAAAGAAGCATACTAAATGCGTATAATATGCTATTTCACTCAACAAAATGTGCATACATGCATAGCAATGTTTACATTACCGTGCTTCATCAACATCAGTTTGAGTTCATGTACATTTTGCTATGATCATTATTTTCCTAGGATTCAGGTTATCGATTTGATAATTCAAATGATTCTGTTTATTGAATTCAAAATATATCTATACAATGTTTTTCTTACCAAGAAAACTGGTATTTGACTGATTATTTGCAAAATGCAGACTGCAAAACGACGTCAACAGGAAACGATCGCGTCAAAATCTGCTTAGAGTTATCCCCCTTTTCACAAATATTTCAATGTTCTTGCTGTCCTGTATCACGTAATAATTAGGATATTTCCACCAATTAGATTATCCTATACTTTTTGTTCATATACAATCATTTCTCTTTACAATACAGCTTCAATAAATTCTTTTGCAATTTGTTCTAGGTCAAATGTTGTAGTGACGGGACTACATTGCATAGAAAGTTGAAGGTTTGCTTGTGTAATATAGACCGTGAGAAGTGTCATCATGAAAAACATTTAAATTTGGAAGACACATACAATGGTGCAAAAAAAGTTTTTTTGTTTAGAATACCTTGAACCAAGATATTTTCACAAGTGGCATAGCTGGTTAAATAACCAAAATGGTGCTTTGCGAAACGAACAGTCTCGATTGATGAGTTAAATGAGAAATTTACAGTTTAAAATGAAACATTTTCAAGAGAATAACAAACGGCATGAAGCGATATTAACTCAATAATGACCATCTGTCTGTATTCTGCCTTGCCATGTTGAACTAACGTAAAAAGGAAGTCAACAGTTTGTGTACGGGCCAGACACTTACGATGAAGGGAGACAATGTGAGGGGAGGTAACTTTTGTATGACAATATTTTTGTCAAAGTGCTATATTCACAGAAGTGGAATATCAAGTGTTATGTTCACTGCAATGAAAATATCACTTTTCTCAACTTCGGAAAACTCAGTCTTTCAAACTGAAACTGTTACTGTTTCAGGCATACCTACGTGAAGGAGTGGCATTGAAGTACCTGGGGCAGTATGGGGAGGCTCTGGCATCATTTGCTGCAGGACTGGCACAAGAACCAAGCAATATTGTTCTACTTGCTGAATTGTCACAGGCAGCAATAACATGTCCCCTTAAAGGTATGGATGCCTGGATATATTTTACTCACCTTGACATTATCAGTTTCTTTTGGAGTCCCTATATTACATAGCTATTTTAAGCAGCCCCATAGAAGATGGTCTGAATTAAAGATTTCGTCGAGGCAGCCAGAGTTGGAATCAATACATGAGATGAGTAGTGTTCAATAGTTTATCCATAATAGGGAGAGGCATCAGAAAATTTCAAAGGACATACTGTAAATGATGGCTAAATAATCCAAACAATCCACTAAGTGACATTGCTCAGTATTGGACATGCTTAATATTCCTAAATAATCTATAAGAATTTGAAGGAACACAAAGTGTAGAGTAAGCTATATTTATCCCCCATCACAAAGTGGAAGGGGGATATAGGAATGGGTGCTGTCCGTCCGCCTTTCCATCCTCCGTCAGTCCATGGTGCCTTTTGATAGATTGGGAGTTTTAACTTTGACTTAGACTGAAAATGGCGGTAGTGCTCTTTTCTGGAGCAGATCTTGAAAGCCGTACAATATTTCTTCACCAAACTTAGCACATAGATAGGTCTAGTATTGAACTGGTGCCTTTTGATACATTAGGATTTAAAAAAAAATAATTTTTTTCGAGTGGCAGCAACTTTGACTTAGGCTGAAAATGGCGGTCGTGCTCGTCAAAGATGCAAGCTGCCGGTTATTCGATATCAGCTGCACAGACAGTGGCAAGCTCTTAGAGACCAGCTTCCACTGCAATCATTAACAACAGATGGAACAAGTTCATCAAGTGGAGAAGGGGGAAGAGGTATATTAGACCCAGAAATTACAGTACCTATAGCTGTTGATTTTCATTCGAACAGGGGCGGTCGGGTAGCCTAGTGGTTAAAGCATTCGCTCGTCATGCCGAAGACCTGGGTTCAATTCCCAACGGGTACAATGTGTGAAGCCCATTTCTGGTGTCCCCCGCCGTGATATTGCTGGAATATTGCTAAAAGCGGCGTAAAATCAAACACCCTCACTCACTCATTCGAACATCATTTCCCCTCAAACAAAGTAATTTTTTCTTTCTAATTTTCAATCTTTTGATATTAGACATTTAAAGACATAAAGTTATGCATACATATGCATACTGCCTGATATTTATTCATGGTTATGTATAGTTTATGCAGTCAACAAGAACATTTAAAAGTAAGAATGATATATTTCAAATTTGTTTTATTGTAGGATTCATATTTTTGTATGCTTAAATCACATGTTCAATGTTTGGGCATCATTTGATCACAAAATTTGATAGAAAAGCTTGAAAATAATTAAAATTAGTGTATTTATTGAAAAAAAGGAAAATTCTGCTATTTTTCTGCAATTTTGCGGTAGGTTACATTTTCTGCAAATCTTTCCATGAACGTGGAATCACAGAATTCATCTGGGACTGACATAATGTCATATCCAGGCTATCCTAAAAAGACTGGCAAGGTAGATAAGATAGCTGAGCAGCTAATGAGAAAAGCCAAACTGGCAAAAAGTGACCCTCACATGGCTATCCTCGACTATCCTAAGCAGCAGGCCTTCACAGAGGCTCCATACCAAGTTGCTGCTCCCAATGTCAGCACAACTTCTAAAGCCAGAGGTTGCTGAAAATGTTCTCCCATTAATACAAAATATTAAACAAAGGGCAGAACACTACAATAACAGAAATTCAAGAGACTTTCTGCCTCTTTAAGAAAAGAGATCAGGTGTACACATCTCCTGCAACAACAAGTGATAAAGCCTGGAAAAAAAATGTGGAAGTGGCATGACCAGCAGAAGACAAACCAAGATCATATGAAGTCTGCACCAACAGTTATGTCTCCTGGACAGAGAGTTGTCTCTGAAAATATCCTCTTTAAAAATGACAGAACAAGATGGTGTTTATCCAGACACACCAGCAAAGCCAAAGAATGAAGAACAGAACATCACCAAGGGACCACAACCTTTGGAAAGCATATCGAGAACCACAGTGAAGAGACTCAGAGTGTGCAGACAAGATCTGGGTGTTGTCACAACACCTATCTGCTACAAGGATTTTGACAGGAAATAGTCACAATGAAGTTTGAAGTTTGAAGTGTTGGTGTTGGTGTTCATGCCTAATCATTATTATGTGAACCATGCCATCTTCTTGAAAGACTCTTAAATCTAAATAGGTTAAAAGCTTCACATTATCAGAGTGGTGTCTCTTTGTCTCATGGCTCACACAACCAAGCTCACTTCATGTTACCATGATCTTTTAGTATTATTTGGTATTGTTGTATTCTATATTTAATGTTATTCTCATCCAGACACACACAGTGACAGAAACATAGTCTGGCATAACATGTGAATTATTATTAGCTGCGCATACATCACATGACCAGCTAAAAGCCTTGTGTATGATGTCACAGGTTAATGTGTACGTGGGAGGTGTCAGCCATAAAAATAGGGCTTGTGCCTTTTGCCTCAAGTAAAGCCATCAAATTGTTACTGACTGAAGAAGACATGAAACAAAGTGGCGGAAGAAAGCTCATCCCAGATGCAAGAATACACAGGAGGCCACTTCCCTTCATTATCATCAATACCCGTGCTTGTGGGTGCAGGCATCACTTCGGGCTTTCCTCCCACATTAAGCAGACACACCGTGATATAACTTGAATACTGTTAAAAACGGCGTTATACACAACTCACTCACTCATTATCATCACTCAAGAGTAGTCCACGCGCCTGGCCTAGCTACAGGGCACAAATGGTTAGTCAAGCCTCGGACAACATAAACAAACTTAAATGTGATGAACATCTGCTGCTACCCAGTTCACGCACTTACAGTTAGTCAGCTTACATGGTTATCTGGACGACTTGCTCTCAGCTGATCAGGACAACTGAGTCAACTTTAGCAAAAACACCATCTTCCTCATTCAATTCAAGGCTCATTCAAGTAAAAGCCTCTTACATCCAACCAAGTTGGAAACTGTTAGAGTTCAGGCGCAAATTTCCAACTCGTCAAAGGAAATCTCTGTCCTCCAGATGTCTGCCACCTGAGGACATTGACTATGGTCAATGAAGTATTGGATTGCGCATGTTGCTCCTTTTGATGGTAAATGTCCTCACTTGGGAATCTATCGTCCATTCAGAACATGATGTATAGAGGCCATTTACCGTTATGTACATTCCAAATGTGGCTCAACAGGAACAGATCTCTTCACTTGGACTCACTGCTATGGATTTTGCCAAACTTGATCCTGGACCTCAGCTGGTGGATTCAGAGAGTCAATGAAAGAATTCCACTTGTGTTCCCATCGCCTTGATCATCACTTTTTCACCGACACATCAGGCTCAGTGAGGACTACTCAATGGTCAAGGTGACCAGCCAGGGGTTGTGGACCTATTCAGAGAAGGAACTCCACATCAGGTGTCAAGGTATGAAGGTCATGTATCATGCTCTCCAATTGTCCTCCAGCTTGGTGGTGACAGATAATAACTCTTGCTAACAGGGAATTCCCTAATCAAAAGCAAGGCTTGGACCTTTTTTCTACCCAAGCGTACTTCAGTGTTGAGTGCAGTATGGCGGTATCCACAAGTCATGTAGGAAACCACTCTCAGTTTGTGTCATTGTAAACAACTTGATGATCACGAAAGACAATCTAAACTTAAACATTTGTTGAGAAGATTTAAATTTCCTTAGTTGAAATCTACTTGTTTATTCAATTATTTATCAAATGAAGGACTGAAATGTGATCTCACCAATGAAATAATGTGTAATTAGTCTGGCAGGACTTTCTAGGTTTGTTGCAGTATAAACAGGTGTGTGACATTGAACTATTGAACATGAACCATTGTAAAATGTGATCAACAGGTTTTCTTCTATCAGTCAATGTGATGAACAAAAATTCAAAATAAATACAGATCATCACCAGCCTTCCTTGATCATTCTGAGTATCCAGTCAGTTTAATTGGTCCTTATCATGTCCCTGTGTACATGATGACCCTTGCCAGATGTATTTTATCCTGTCAGCCACACTCCAAGACTATATGTCACCATTTGTGGTCTATTTTTGCAAACATATACTTCTGCAAACCTGTTCTTCCCTTTTATACAATCACAGTATCACACTTTCATTAGCTGGTGTGTTATACATTCCTCATTTGGTGTGTATGAAAGTGCCTTTGCCATCATGAAACAAGATTTGCCAAAAGAAAGTTGTATTTGCAATAAAAAAATCACATTTTTTAACTTATCCTGCATTACTCCGTATTGCATTTACTACTGTCTTTGACAGAGAGACAAACTGTGTGAGATCCAGCTGCTGAAGAAAGTTGTTTCCATCTGTCCAGGAAGACATGACGTCATGTCAAAACACATAACTGCTTTGTCAACCACATGGATCGGTATACTGTATCCCTCGTGGAATTATTGTGGATATAGTATTCACGACCGTCTGTACGTACGTCCGTACGTCCCACCTGTTTGTTGCCGCGATATCTCAAGAACTAAACACTGGATTGTCTTCATATTTGGAACTATGGTGTATATACAGACTCCGCAGACACCAGTCGGTTTTGGTGACCTTGACCCCATTTTCAAGGTCACAGCAGGCAAATCTGTTTTTGGAGTTGGAAAACGGTGTTGCCGCAATATCTAAAGAACTAATCGCTGGATTGTCTTCATATTTGGTACTATGGTGTATATACAGGCGGGGGACATTTCGTCACTTTGTGACAAATACTTGTTAAAGCTTTATTTGATCCTGACTTTCTATCATGTACTACGACAATAGTATGCTGTGTTGTTTCTTGTATTTGGTTTGTTACCTTTGACTTCATTCTATTGTTAATTGATAACGTTTCTCGCTCGTGTTGTGGCTCTCATCAGGGTATTTCGGAGCGTATTGTTGTTTCCCGCCATTTTGGTTTTCCCGCCCTTTTGCGATTCACTACATGTCCACGTATTTTCGTGTTTTGTTTTCTTGAATTCGCTCTGTGGTTGGAGTTTTACATTAAATTTAATGGTTGTTTTTGGCGTGT